ATTGATGGACTTAAGTGTGGCAGCGGTAGTGAGGTTGGCCCAGGATCGAACATTGTTTCGTTCTGCTGTGCATGGGGTCACTATGAGTCGGTTCCGACTCGATGGCACCTGACAACAACAACAACAAATGCATTAATTAGCAGAAACGGACTAGTATTGGCCATTTTGAATCTGACAATCACGATGTTTACTATGTCGAGAATGGCAAAAGGAATGGTGTCATATTCATCATCAAAAAGAGCGTTTCAAGATCTATCTGAAGCACAGCGCTGTCTGTACTAGGATAATATCCATCATATGCCTACAAGGAAGACCAGTTAATACCACTATTATTCAAATCTATGCACCAACCACTAAAGCCAGTGATGATGAAATTGAAGAAATCTATCAACTTCTTTAGTCTGAAATTGATCAAACATGAAATCAAGATACATTGATAATTACTGGCAATTGGAATGTAAAGGTTGGAAACAAAGAGAAAGGATCAGGGACAAGATGGCAACCTCCATGCTGGGTTCGCTGCTGTGCACCGTCCTGCAGATGGTTCCTGCATCAGCTTCAGGCCAAGTTCGAAGTTACAAGTGGACTGGAAAATGTTATGTGATATGAAGAGACAAAAAATGGCCTATGAATATGCAGATGAAAGGTTACGGATCAATTCACTCAAGAAGAATACCATTTTGCCAAAGGACCTTCAGGAAATTGCTGATGAAGAAATTTGTAAGGAAAAGAAAGAAAGAGACAAGACAGTCTTGGCTTCAACAGCAGGCAGCCTTATTTAGAGTAAACCTGGGGTATTTAAGGAGGTGTGGTCTGGATACAATTCTGGCGAGTTTACAATGAGTGGGGGTATGGAGATTTTCCAGGTGTAACAAAGACCAAGCTATCCTGAGAAGCTCAAGCAGGAACCCATTCAGTGCCAATTGGGGGTCCTTGCAATGCCATTCCGTTAATCAGGCGTGGGGGCAGGGTCCTTCAAAATTGCTGCCCTTCCATGGGATAGCTGCCCTGTTAGAATCGCTGTGTCATGACATCCCGACCTCATGGTGTAAAGCGACGCTGCAGGCTTAGTCTTATAGTCTTTTGCCACTTAGCTGACCATGGGTGGACTATAGGGTAATTGCCTCTACTAGACTCCAAACTAGGTCTTATTTCACTTAGGCTTAGGGCTCTTGCATACAAAAGCTGGACCGTGAATAAGGAAGACCGTAGAAGAATTGATGCTTTTGATTTATGGTGTTGGAGGAGAATATTCAAAGTGCCATGGGCTGCCAAAAGAACCAATAGATCAGTTTTGGAAGAAGCGCAGCCAGAGTGCACCTTGAAGGCCAAGATGGCCAAACTTCGTCTCTCATACTTTGGATATATTGTCAGGAGGGACCAGTCGCTGGAGAAGGATATCATGTTTGGTAAGGTGGAGGGTCAGAGAAATAGAGGAAGACCCCAATGAGATGGATTGGCCAAGTGGCAGCATCAACGGACTCAAGCGTGGCAACAGTAGTGAGGTTGGCCCAGGATCAGGCAGTGTTTCGTTCTGCTGTGCATAAGGTCGCTATGTGTAGGTACCAACTCGATGGCACCTAACAACAACAACAAAGGGAGGAGCACACACAGCATTTCTCAAGCTAAGGTAACTGAAGAAAAAATTCAAACCTTGACTTGGAATTTTGAAGGATTCTATAGGCAAAATATTGAATGATACAGAAAGCATCAAAAGAAGATGGAAGGAGTATACAGATTCACTGTACTAAAAATAAGTAACCCATGTTCAGCCACTTTAAGAGGAATCATATACCAAGAGCCACTAGTACTGAAGGAGGAAGTCCAAGGTGCACTGAGGCAGTAGGTTTCTGGGACTTGATGGATACAAATTGAAATCTTTCAACAAACTGATGCAGCACTGAAGGCACTCACTCACCTATGCCAAGTAGTTTGAAAGACAGCTATCTGGCTAAATGATTGGAGTAGATTCATATTTGTGCCCATTTCAAAGAGAGGCAACCCAATGGAATATGAAAATCAGTAAATAATATCAAGTGCAAGTAAAATTTTGCTAAAGATAATTTAAAAATGGCTATACTAGTACATTGACAGGAAACTGCCAGAGGTTCAAGCCAGATTTAAACAAGGATGTGGCTTTAATCTTTTATCCTTATTATTGTTATTTTATTCTATTGAGTTTTACATAGAAGATTAGACTCCCATTTACAATTTCTTCACAAGTAGCTCAGTGATTTTAGCTACATTTATCACAATATGTCAACATTCTCTTTCATTGTCTTCTGTTTGTCCCCTTTCTAATACTCTAGTTTCCCTGTCCCCTTATCATTTCAGCTTTGCTTTAGAGTAATTGGAGAACTTTTGGTCTCATACAGATGGTTTTTGAGTAGTGCACAAATCTTATGAGTAATATCCTTTTTGTGTGTGTGCCACTGTATAATTTCACTAATAGATGATCTCAGGGAATAGGGTGGGCTCTTGGTTTAAGAATGCCTCAGTGCAAAAGTCTCAAGGAGTCCTCTGTTCTCTATTGTTCCAATTTGTGTGACTTCTAAAAACAAAAAATTTAAGAATTTGAGTTCTGCTCCACATTTTTCTCCCACTCTGTTAGGATCCATCTATTGTGACCCTGGTCAGAACTGTCAGTGGTGGAAGCTGGGCACCATCTAATTCTTCTGGTCTCAGGATAGATGAGGTCATAGCTCATGTACACTTTCTTCTCTGAGCTTTTTTTGGTTACCTTCTTACTGTTTTCACCTGAAGAAACCAATAATATCTTATATAGCCATTTGCAAGCTTTTAAGACCTCAAATGTTACTCCCTTCAATTGAATGCAGATCATGCTTTTTGTGATATATCTTGTGTCAATTGACCAAGTTTCCCATAAGACTATGATTATAAGCTTCTATATCTAGAAAATCAATGTTTGGTTATGTCTAAGACGTATCCATATTTGTGTGTTCAGTGAATATATGTGCTTGTACTCACATATTTGTATCACACATACCTATAGATACTTCAAAGGAGCCTTGGTGGTACAGTGATTAAGTGCTCAGTTGATAAGCAAAAGGTTGGCAGTTCAAACTCAGTAGCCTCTTTGAGAGAGAAAAATGTAGTAGTCTGTAAAGATTATAGGCTAGAAAACCCTACAAGGCAGTCCTACTCTATAAAACAAGCGGGTCGCTGTGTTGGAATTGACTCAACAGCATTGGGGATGGGTATAGATACTTCTATCTGTTCTTACCTCTATATACATCTGTAATAAACCAATATGCCTATATCCATTCATATGTGTTCGAACACTCATTTTCACTTTGTGCTGTGCTCACTACATTCACACTCAGTGACACTTTCCCCAGCATCAAATATAACAAATCTCTTCGATATAAAGCATCCTGCCCATTCTAGTGAGGATTGGTCTCTACATATCCTTTGTTGTCTTTTTATAACAGAGGACTCATGCATATTTGTTCTTGTATGCTTAACTTATTTCACTTAGAACTAGTTGGCTGCAATCTTTAAAAAAACAGATTAGGTCTTTCTCTCACAGAGCTGCTGGGTGGGTTTGAACTAGTTAGCAGCCAAGTGCTTAAGCGTTGCACCACCAAGTCATGTCTTTAGCCTGCCCTTTCACTCATAAAATAAGATGATGTGTTTGTGAAAGTAGAGTCTAAGAATGCTGTTCAAGAAAATGTACTGCTATAAATTTGTTACAGACCTATAAATCTTTGAATGAATTTTTTGTTTTTTATTTTTAAAACATTATCTTTTCAGGTCCAAGTAGGTGATGAGAAATATGTGCACCTGAAAATATTCAAAAGTCTGCCTGGAGGAAATCAGCATTTGGAACTTTCTGATGTGCAGACTGACAAATGTAAAGATGATGAGCTGGTGGGCTTTTAGCAGCATGTTTCAAAAAGGCCTGATTCTTTTTACTGGTTACTGATGAACGGAACTGTTAATAAGTATAACTCTCAAAAAACAAGCACTATTCTTCAAATAAATTTATTTCCTCAATTATTTCTGTTTTATGGTAATAAATTTTTCTTTCTCAAAATCAATGCCATATGCTTTACTATAATTATTCTGTACAAACTAATATCAACCGGAAATCTTACAAAAATTAACCAGATGATTTGACGGCACTTAACAACAAATGTTGTTGTTGTTAAGTGCCGTCGAGTCGGTTCCGACCCATAGTGACCCTGTACAGGGTTTCCAAGGGTGTAAATCTTTACGGGAGTAGAAAGCCTC